CTCTCCGTGCCTGAATTAGGATCGACGGGACTTCTTTTTGGGGGGGTCGGTGGGGGTGATCCTTCGGCCCTACAACAGCCTGCTATCTCGTGGCCGTTGGAGGGGGTTTGCATCTGATCTGGATGGTGCGTCGATTCTAAATGCCCCTTGCCCACGTAACTCTTCAGGGATCAACATTGTCCCGACTGGGGAAGCACGGATCCGGTGGGTGTGTCCCCTCTCCCGCCCCACCCCCACCACCATCCGCCCCCACCCCCTGGGGAGGGTGCGGGGAAATGATTACGACCATTGACCATCCTTCCCAGGGAGAAGGGGCAAGGAATATGCTGCTTTGCCTGACACACAGGAGACAGGCTTATTGGGAAACCACGTCCCCTCCCACGGTGAGGGTGGGGGGAGGGGATGGGGAATGGTACACATTTTGATGGGGGTCGCCCTTCTCTCATTTGTCTGAACCCCCAATGGGTACGGACCCCGGTATGTTCCCAGCCGCCCCCCCACCCCGACGAGGAACCAGCCTGAATGAACCCTCCCTCTGAGCACCTTCCCCCCTCCTCCCCCCACCCAACCCCGTGCCAGGTGTGAGGCTGTGCCCACCCTCGGGGGGTGGGTGGGGGGCAGGAAGGCTGGATTTGCCCCATCTGTACACCTGGATCCGTCTCATCACGTATGGCCACAGTGACACATGCCCCTCCTACGTATCCCACTCCCCCTCCCCTCCCCTCCTCCTTCTCCCCCCCCCCCCCCCCCCGGCACTCCTCTCCAGGCTCCCCGTGTACATGTAACAGTCTGACTGACTGAAATGTGACTGTCCCTCTCTTTCCCCTGTCTCTCTCTCTGTCTCTCTCTCTGTCTCTCCATCCCCACGTCACTCTCTCTCTGTCCATCCCCATGCCACTCTCTCCCAACCCCCACATCTCTCCCTCCTCCCCATGTCTCTCCCCCTCCCTCCCCCTCCCTCCCCACATGTGTGTTCCCCCCCAGGTATAAGGAACGACACCACGTCCAGTTGCTGGGACGGGGGTTCATCGCCGGCATCGACCTGAAGCAGCAGAAACGTGAGCAGTCCCGATTCTACGGAGACCTGATGGAGAAGAGGCGGACGCTGGAGGAGAAGGAGCAGGAGGAGTAAGTCGTTGGGGGGAGTGGGGCGCGCGCGAGGAGACGTGGGGGGGAGGTTCCCTTCCTTGATGGAGAATCTGCTCCCCCCCCCCCCCCCC